TATATAGTGTTCCCTCACTACTTGTATATTTTAAATTCATTAAAAAAAACCTGCAAAACAGCAAAGCAATCTGTGACATAGCGAGGGAACACTGTAGAAGTAATCAATGCTACCCAATACATTACACAGGTAAGTCTTTAGGGACTGTCTGGACACTTCTAATAATCAAATAGGGCTTTCCATACTGAACTCGGAATGAGGATAGATTTGTATGTCTAAAGGGTATCTTTGCTTGCTTTTGCAGGCAATTCATGGGCCCTGCTTGTGTAACTGAACACAAGACACTAAATATGTAGGAAACAAAATTAGCATGTCTTCCACAGTTTTCACAGCATTTCCCACAACAAGTTGTATACATGCAAGGTCATTGCTTGTGCAGAGACTGTATGTGCACAATTTGGGAAGACACAGCTGAAATTGCAAAAGCGTTCTCATTTCATTCTGCCATATGTAGACCTCTGAATAACCATACGATCACACACTGAACGAAGAATATTATTCTACTCTGATTAGTAGAAGAAGAATATGGCAAAATTAAGCAGGTAAATTATTTATTTATAAATACAAACAATTGTTTTTCAAGAAAACTAAGAAGTGGATACTTGAGTAAATAATCTAGGCATCTACAATGGTTGATTCAGATATGTAGGTTCAATACTTTGGCTTCATAAAAACTTTATAAATTAAACTTGTATAGATAAATAGCCTACTGATGACAGCATATCACAAAGGACATGACAGGGCTAACTAAACCCATTGCTTTTTCAACTATCACATGACGAGAATAGCTGCTCAATGTGTCAGTCCAAAGAAACTTACTTATAGAAGACCCAAAAATAATTTTTACAACTTCAATTCTATATACAATTGAAATATGAAAGATAATTTTCAGACACCTTGTATTCAAAAATATATTTCCAACCCACCATATGCTACAACCCATAAATAGTTAGGACTTACAACAAATGCTCACATTGCAATGTGGCGACAGACAAACAGTTCCTCTATAAAGTTTGAGCCACTTGTGAAAAGGGGTGAAATTATTAGTCTCCATGGCCTCAGTAAAACCAGCCAATTGAAAACCTAGGTGAGTGCGGGGGCAGGGGGTGGGACATGGCTATAAACCCAGATAAGAATATTGGCTTGACGGGAGCTATCTACACAGAAAGAGTTCAGGACAAATCGTAACTCTGTTTTATTTGTTAAGTGTTACCTTGTGTAGCACATATGCAGAGTCAGCATGGGGATAGATATGTAACTTATTGTATACAAAGAAATAGTTTATTGGTCTCTATCACTAAACATCTGATCTTGTAGCATCTCTGAGATTGAGAGAAAGATATTTGTAGCATAAGCCTTCATAGACTCAGTTTACTTCTGTGTCTTATGCAGCAGGCTGAGTCTACAAAAGCAGAGTTGGCATCTCACCAAACTACAACAACCATGATTCCATAGCACTGAGCCATGACAGTTGTCAAACTGCATTAATTCTACAGTGTAGATGCACTTACAAAGAAGAAAAGTCTTTAACAACTAATGATAGCTTGTAAAGTGGGTGCAAGAAGTTTTATTTTATTTTTTTCGTGTCAGGAGCAACTTGAGAAATTGCAAGTCACTTCAGGTGTGAGAGAATTGGCCATTTGCAAGGATGTTGCCCAGGGGACACCTGGATGTTTTGATATTTTACCATCCTTGTGGGAGGCTTCTCTCATGTCCCCGCACGGGGAGCTGGAGCTAACAGAGGGAGATCATCTGAGCTCTCCCCAGATTCGAACCTGCGACCTGACGGTCTTCAGTCCTGCCAACACAAGGGTTTAACCCATTGTGCCACTGGGGGCTCCTAGTGCAGGAGGTGATAATTTTCCTTTACTTTTTTCCCTGAGTTCTGTTTTTTTTTACCATTAAGTTCCTGGATAGACTTTGTGATGTTTCAGAGCAGTGCAACTCAAAGAAATGGTCCCTAAGACAGTCTTTCCATGAAAGAATGAAGCAATTGTGAGTGCCATATAGCCCTGGCACTCTGGGAAATTATAATTGCCAGTCCCCACATCAGGTAGCCTCAGAAGCACTGTTCTAGTGCAGGGATGGGGAACCTTTTAATTGTGACTATTGCCTTATGGGAAAAGGCAACTGAATGCTGGAGACAATGATAGCCATGTCCACAGCTGATAGTGGTTGGAGCAACTGCTTTGTCTACACACACATCTTAAAATCCATAGCTTCATGAACAAGCATTCCCACAATGCCATATTCGCCATCTATAAGAATCCATTTGTGGATGAGGATGTCCATAGCAGCAATGTGCTTTGATCCTGTTATCCATTTTGATTGTGGGATTGTCTGTATCTCTTTTTGGAGTGCACTTCTATCATGCAGAAGCAATTTTCAGCAGCAGGCACACTGCTGTACTTGCTCAGTCTTCTTAAGCTATCTAATGTGGGGAAACAGCAACTTCTGATAGAACCATTAGCTACATTAATTGTTCCATCCTGAAAACTCTTCAATGACTTGCAGTTTGTGGACCAATTTTGTCCTAGCCCTGGGAAGAGAGGAGCCATACAGCTTCTGCCTTCATCCCAAGAAAGAGTATTTGTGTGCTTTTAATTCAAGTCTTTTCAGTGAGTTAAAAAAAATGCTGAAATCATGAACGTGAGGGAATGCCTCCAGCACAAGCTTGAAGGAAACATATGCTCACTGCAGACACATTCAGCTACTTCTGTTTATCAGACGTTCCCCTTAACTTCTGCATTTGTCTCGGCTTACACAGAAACTTTTATTCACCCCGATTGCTGACAAACATTGAAGTCACTCAAGGGAAATTAGCTGTCTGGAGTCTTTCATGAATCTTTCACGCATTTGTCTCATCCAGTCCCCCAATTTCAATTTTCTGGAGCTGGCGTGACCTTGCGGAGGTTACACCTTCCTTAGAAGACTAGCAGACTTCTGCTCAAGACTGGCAGACTGCCAGCCCAGTCCCCATGTCTAATGAGGAGCAGGCTGCCCTTTGCAAGAGTATGTGTCAAGTCCACTTTTATAGGAAGCTATAGGCAGCAACGCGGATTGAATGCTAACATCTGCAGGGACAGGCTTTAAATTGATTTGCAATTCTGTCTGTGTCTGGAAGGACTGGGGCAGGGAAAGGAAGGCAAATGGTTTTGCATTTATTTGCAAATATTTATTTGCAAAGAAGTTGGAGGTGTATACATCCGATGCAATAAAACACCACAAAACAAAAAACATCAAGGAAATTATTTTTAAAATCATGGAAATAAATGTAAGGTTAGCCTAATCAAAGGAGACTTACTTAGATAAGTATGATTTTTAACATGCATCAAAAACTAAAGACATTTGGAGTATAGAATGAATCCTGGTATCCATGGGGGATACACTATCTGACTTCATATGGCTATGTGAACCTGTTGATAATAGCAAACCCTATTGAAAGGAAGAATACCATAGAGTATGTGGGAGGATGAAGAAAATTGCTAGAGAGAACATATTTTGTCATATGTGGCTAAATGAAACTGAGGATACCAGAATTCAAGGATTGTACTGTTTGTATTGAAGCATCTGGAACTACCAGGTAAGCTGCAAACAAATGTAAGAACCTCTCCCCCTTCCAAAAAATAAAAACCAAATGCGAGAGCCACACACACCCCCAACACACACACACACACACACACAGTCCAGATGCAACATCAAAGCAAGGTTAGGTAGCTTTCATTTCTGGTCTTCCTCTCTCAAATACCCATAGCAAACAAAGGCCTCATCTACACTGACATATAAAATCCAGGTTATCTACTTTGAACTGTATTATGTGGCAGTGTAGACTCATATAATCCAGCTCAAAGCAGATAACCTGGGATCAGATACTGGATTATATGGCAGTGTAGATCTACAAAGGGTATTCCCAGTCTTATCTGGCAATGCTGGAGACTGAACCTGGGACATCTTGCTTTACCATTGAGCCATGGCCCTTTCCCAGGGAAAATAGGAAAAAGCAGAAGGAAATCATAGTCCTCTGATTTTTGTGATACGGTTTCATTTTTCTGAACCCTGTTTGTATCTCTACCCATCAAAACAGGATTGCAAGCCAAAACCACAACCAGTTTTCCAGGTCAACAACAAATCCCATTTTGCCCGTTTGGCTCAAACCATACACACTGAACCCCCAGCAAATCCTCTTTTTAAAGAAGCCAAACTGCTTATCTCTATTAAAGAGAGAGAGAGAAAGAGTACCATTGCCAGGCTGTATAGGACATGGCTCTTGCCATTTGACGCCCAAACAGATCGAGAAGCAAGACAAGATACTGTAACATCTGTTGCAGTCTAACCTTACCTTCCAACCTCAAACTATTGGCCACAGTTCTTGCCTATCCAGTTGGAGAGCAGAGTGTTTGTGCCAAGATACTATGGACAAGAAAAGAGCCTGGTGCTCCTGTGTTCCCTCTCTCCACTCCCTACGAAGTTGTGTTTAGAATGTATCGGCTGCAGGTAAAAGTTTGAGACTTTAAGGGAAGAAAGGTATCTTTGCCCAGCATCACAGATACCTTTGTCCTCAATGTGTTTGGTCTTAAACTTATAGGAGCCCCACCTTGTAGCCAACTTGGAAACCCTAAGAAAGAGAGAAGTTGCAAAAGACATGGAAGTGTCACCAAAATCATTGGTGATGCAGTGTTTGGGCCAGTGCTAATAAAATTTACTTCTTGAGAAGATAAACTCCTAGATTCTCCAAACCAGCATGCTGGTAAGTAGATTTTGGTCCCAGGTTATCTGCTTTGAGCTGGATTATATGAGTCTACACTGCCACATAATACAGTTCAAAGTAGATAACCTGGATTTTGTATGTCAGTGTAGATGTTGTTTTTAAGAAAAGAATTTTTCCAAGCTCTGTTTTGACCTTGCAAATAAAAAGAATCACAGACCTCCCATAAATCACCTTAAAGTCATGAAATATCAACTTCACAGAATAGTCTTTGAACCCTGCCAGAAATACTTACGTCGATTTGCCACAGATTTTCCTTTGGTACCAAAGTTTGCAGTTTGGCAAGTATTTACTGTTTGTTCCAATCACCTTCAGCACAGCACACACATTGGGACTGCAGGGAAAAGAAATGATGAGAGATATTTTGAATTCCCTCTCCATACCTTGATGTTCAATGATCTCTCATCAAAAAAAAAAATCTTAATGTAAGCACTGCATCTTACAATCATGGAATGTTTTAGTGATTAGTATTATTATTCCAGCAGCATAACCCTTGCAGAAGAGCTGAATGCAAAAATTACTCTTATATATTGAGCTAAAAGGACCCACACACACACACACACACACACACTCTAAGGGCCCTTCCATACAGCCCTATATCCCAGAATATCAAGGCAGAAAATCCCACATTACTGGAATATATGGCAGTGTGGACTCTGAACGGATCCAGACAGGCCTTTATCCCAGAAGAATTCGTGTTTTAAAAATGTGGATCTTCCTGGGGGCCTGTGCACACTTCCTGGGGTGGGTGTCCAGAAGCTCTTGCAGGACTGGCCCGAGAGAACATCTGGAAGCCTTCTCCCCCTCCCCCAAAGCCTCCAGACCCTTTTTAGAAGTAAAATAAACCTCCAGTACACTCTCGGAGCAGCTCTCCCAGTGCCTAGAAACAGCACACCAGGAGAGCGGGGGTGGATTCAACCATCCAGACTGATTTTTTTAAAAAAAATCCATGAAGCAAATCTTGATTCCTGCCATTTTAAATAAGTAGCGGCATTTTAATATACCACTGTATATAATGAAACCTGAGCATCCATGAATTTCGGTATCCACAGAGGGTCCTGGAACCAAACTCCAGAGGCCCATTATACTGTGGAGGAATTTTTTTAAAACATCCCTTTTTATTGCTATATGATTCAAGGAGTTTTATTCGAAAAAGTGGTCTTCCCAAACTTTGCTCTGGTGGCCTTACAATATGCCTTGTTGTGCCAAATTCTTCGCCCATGCTTTCCCACCCACACTGCATTTATACTGACAGTACAATGAACACAAGGAGGTCTTGCTTTCCATTTATTCTTCTAAGGTTTTCTGTATGGAAGATCAGCATGGGGGATCCGTCTCATTGCCCAGCTGTCTGTCTACAGCAGTGGTTCTCAATCTTCCTAATGCTGCGACCCTTAAGGTTGTGGTGACCCCCACCCATAACATTATGTTCATTGCTACTTCATAACTGCAATTTTGCTACTGTTATGAATCGCCATGTAAATATCTGCTATGCAGGACATATTTTCATTCACTGGGTCAAATTTGGCTTAAATATCTGATAAGTCCATTTTGAATACTGGTGGAGTTGGGGGGATTTTGTCATTTGGGAACTGTAGTTGTTGGGATTTATATCTCACCTACAATCAAAGATCATTCTGAACTCCACCAATGATAGATTTGGGCCAAACTTCCCACACAGAACCCCCATGACCAACAGAAAATACAGGAGGGATTTGGAAGGAATCGACAGTGATTTAGGGGAGAGCATGCCTGTTCTCTCCCCCCCCCACCCCCGCCCCTGGGCTTGGAGCCCTTCCTCTTGGCTGAGAGGCCAGCCAATCACAGGAGGAGGGCTTTTGGGGGTGGGTTTGCTGTCAGTTTTCAAAATGGAAGAGAAGGGTAGATGGAGATATCTGCAGCCTTCTCTGCCAAAGGGGTTCCTAAGACCACCAGAAAGATGTGTTTTCTGATAGTCTTTGGCGACCCTTCCGAAACCCCCCTCATGACCCCCAGGTTGAGAAACAGCCCTAAGGTATATGGGCACATAAGGGAGGATTTAGGATGCAGGAGAAATTTATGCTACACAGGAAACATGTGGAAGAGAAACAGTGGCATATGACACATCATTCCTATTACCTGATATATAGCTTGCCCTTTACATTTAGGGGTTTAACTTTTGTGGATCTGATCGTTTGCAGTTTTGATTATTATGGTCTCTCTAGACCTTCAACTTCTAACAGAAGTTGATCAAAGAGTCATGCTGGAGGACATAGAGATTCCTGGAGAGATGTTCTTTGGGTTTAAAAAAATATTATTGGATTGTTGAAGGTTTTCATGGCCAGAATCACTGGGTTGTTGTAGGTTTTTTTGGCCTATATGGCCATGTTCTAGAGGCATTCTCTCCTGACGTTTCGCCTGCATCTATGGCAAGCATCCTCAGAGGTAGTGAGGTGATTATTGGATTGCTGTGAGTTTTCTGGGCTGTATGGCCATGTTCCAGAAGCATTCTCTCCCTGATGTTTCTACTTCTGGAACATGGCTATACAGCTCAGAAAACTCATAGCAATCTAGTGATTCCGGCCATGAACGCCTTCGACAACATATTTTATTGTTAATTTGTGTTTTTTCTACCTTCTCTGGGACCTTTTACCCCTAATCCCCATTATTGTGGAGGGCCTACTTTAGCAGCCTTCTCAAAACTGCTAATGCACAGAAACAGCAGATGCTAGGAACCCATCTCTACTTCCCCCCTATTGTTATGTCTTCCCCCGGCATCTCCTCCTCCCACTCATGGTTACATATCAACAAGTGAACCATGCATCCTAGAAATATGTTGATATCTTTGACCTAGCAGTTACTAAATCTGGGATGGATTTTACTATGCTGCTTTACAATTTGTCAGTCAAATGAGTAATTCAATTTGCTTCCTTCATAGTCCATTCCTTTCATCTCCTACATGTATCAGCTTGCTTTGATTCACTTTTGTTTAGTTTTAGCATGTGTAAGAAGTTCAACTCAATGCTATTTGGCTCATTTAATTCACTGGCAATCCACAGATGTTTCTAAACTGGGCTACACAAAGAGTTTATATTATCACGTGACATGTACACATGTTTGTGACAGAATGTCCAGATTGCAACCAGGTGCTTATTCATATAGCAGTCTGGTTGTGCCACTAGGCAGAGTGAGCACTAGCAACTTCAGAAGAAATAATCTAGGAACTAGGACATGTTGAACTTGGAGAAGAGAGGACATAGGTCCCTTCTACACTGCCGTATAAAATCTAGATTATCTGCTTTGAACTGGATTATTTGGCAGTGTAGGCTCATATAATTTAGTTCAAAGCAGGTAATGTGAATTATCTTCTTTGATAATCCAGATAATATGGCAGTGTAGAAGGGGCCTCAGAGGAAACATGGTAGCTATCTTTAAAAATCTTGAGGGAATGCCATGTAAAAGAAGCCAGTTTGCTTTCTGTTGTTTCAGAGACTAGAAGAGAAACCAACAGATTCAATTTGCAATAAGAGATTGCATCCAAACACTAGGAAGAACTTCTTGAATGTAAGAAGCATTCATTTGCCTTAGAGTGGGATCTCCATTTATGGAGGGCCCTTCCACACAGCCATATATCCCAGAATATCAAGGCAGGAAATCCCACATTATCTGAGTGTGGACCCAGATAATCCAGCTCAAAGCAGGTATTGTGGAATTTTCTGCCTTGATATTCTGGGATATAGAACTGTATAGGAGTGCCCAAAGATTTTAAAACAGAGGTTGAATCTACATTGCCATATAATCCAGATTAACAAATCAGATAATCCACATTATCTGCTTTGAACCAGAATATTTGAGTCTACACTGCCAATGATCCAGTTCAAAGCAGATAATTTCAATTTTATATAGCAGCACAGATGGGGCCTGAGATTGGACAGACATGTTCAGGAGCGCTTTAGCATTCCTGAATGGCACAAGGTTTGACTAGATGGCCCTTGTGACTTTTTTCTGTGATCCCAAAGCCCCTTCTACACTGTCATATAAAATGCAGGTTGTCTGCTTTGAACTGGATTATATGGCAGTGTAGACTCTTATAATCTAGTTCAAAGGCCCCATCTACACTGCCATATCAAATCCAGCTTTGAACTGGATTATATAGAATCAGTATAGAATCGGGCTATGTCTACTCTGCCACATAATCCAGATGATCAAAACTGATAATCAACATTATCTGCTTTGGACTGGATTACTTGAGTCTATACTGCCTATAATGCAGTTCGAAACAGATCATCTGGATTTTATATGGCAGTGTGGATGAGGCCTCATAAAATCCAGTTAAAAGCAGATAATGTGGATTATCTGATTTAATAATTTGAATTATATGGCAGTGTAGAAGGGGCTGCTGTTACATGTCTTCAATGCAAAACGGATACAGGCCTATCATATTTTAGGGTTTTCTTGACAAATTCATTCAGAAGAGGTTTACCATGGCCTGCTGTACTATAATTTCTTGGTCAGCACTGATCCTGTCAAAACAATGTTTATCTGTACGGCTGGTCATGGTGTGACTTGGTGACCCACTGGTAGTCCTTTTCTGAGCATTTGAAAATCAGCTAATAAACTATGGTTGCTATACTGGGACAGAAAACAATGTCCTCTGGAATGAGATATCTGAGATAGGCAAGATTTTGAAATATCATTAATTAGATGTGAATGCCAAATGATCATCAGAATATCAGAATACATACCTTGATTAAACAGCTCTGCACTGCACGATTTATACAAATTTAGCTTTCTCAATATAGTCTTACTTGTTACTATTTGCCTATCTATTGATTCTGACCTCATGATTTGGTCAATAGGTTTTATTGGTAGGATTTATTCAGAGGGGTTTGCCACTGGCTTCCCTTGAGAGCTGTTCAGCAGTGGAACTCTCTACCCTGGAGTGTGGTGGCGGTTCCTTCTTTGGAGGCTTTTAAACATGGGCTAGATGGTCATCTGTTGAGGGTGCTTTGAATGAGATTTTCTTGCTTCTTGGCAGGGGGTTGGACTGGATGGCCCATGAGGTCTCTTCCAACTCTAGGATTCTATGAGGCTGCTGACAGTGTGTGGCTTGCCCGAAGTCACAGAATGGGTTTTCACGGCTGAGTAGGGAATTGAACTCTGGCCTTCCAAAATCCTATTCCAGAACTCAAAACAATATATGTCTAACATTTCTTTCCATTCTACTTCCAATTCACATGGCAGACAATATTATTAGAAGCCTTTGACAGTGATGTTTTTGAAATTCGTGATAGTGCACAATATTATTACCTTAAGTATTTTTGAACTGTGAGCTGGATTCCCAGGAAAAATGGAATGGGACAGGCCACCAGGAAAAGTAGGGAAACACTGTGAACATATAAATCTACCAGGGAAAACTATAGCCTAAATCAGATTGCATACCCTCCAGCATTTGACAGATGAAAACCAGAACACCTGTAACCAGGCAACATTGCAGCATGCTCAGGACAGCAAAGGTTTTTAATGAGAATAATAAGAGTTGGAAGAGACCTCATGGGCCATCCAGTTCTATCTCCTGCTAAGAAGCAGGAAAATCATATTCAAAGCACCCATGACAGATGGCCATCCAGCCTCTTTTTAAAAACCTCCAGAGAAGGACCCTCCACCACACTCCGGGGCAGAGAGTTCCACTGCTGAACAGTTCTCACAATTAGGAAGTTCTTCCTGATGTTCAGGTGGAATCTCCTCTCTTGTAGTTTGACGCCATTGTTCCGTATCCTAGTCTCCAGGGCAGCAGAAAACAAGCTTGTTCCCTCCTCCCTGTGACTTCCCCTCACATATTTATACATGGCTATCATGTCTCCTCTCAGCCTTCTCTTCTGCAGGCTAAACATGCCCAGCTCTTCATAGGGCTTCTTCTCCAAACCTTTGATCATTTTAGTCGCCCTCCTCTGGACACATTCCAGCTTGTCAATATCTCTCTTCAATTGTGGTGCCCAGAATTGGACACAATATTCCAGGTGTGGTCTAACCAAGGCAGAATAGAGAGGTAGCATTACTTCCCGAGATCTAGACACTAGACTCCTATTGATGCAGGCCAAAGACCCATTGGCTGTTTTAGCTTTCTTAGCTGCAGCATCACATTGTTGGCTCATGTTTAACTTGTTGTCCACAAAGACTCCAAGATCTTTTTCACAGGTACTGCTGTCAAAAAAGCAGATGAACTAGGAAAGGCTGCAACAGTTTGCTTTTGCTTCAGCCTTTTGGGAAAGACAAGGTTTTCTCTTCTCCCTTTTCCCACTGAGTTTGAGGCCCCTTCTACACTGACATATAAAATCCAGATTACTTGCTTTGAACTGGATTATATGACAGCTTAGACTCATATAGGTAAAGGTAAAGGTATTCCCCTGACATTAAGTCCAGTCGTTTCCGACTCTGGGGGTTGGTGCTCAACTCCATTTCTAAGCTGAAGAGTCAGCGTTGTCCGTAGACACCTCCAAGGTCATGTGACCTTCCCGCTGGAGTGGTACCTATTGATCTACTCACATTTGCATGTTTTTGAACTGCTAGGTTGGCAGAAGCTGGGGCTGACAGCAGAAGCTCACGCCACTCCCCAGATTCAAACCTGTGACAAGCTCAGCAGCTCAGTGATTTAACCCACTACGCTCCCGGGGGCTCTAGACTCATATAATCCAGTTCAAAACAGATAATGTGGATTATCTGCTTTGGTATTTTGGGGCCCCTTCCACATAGCTGAATACAATCCCACAATCTCTGCTTTGAACTGGAATCTATGGCAGTGTGGAGACAGATAACCCAGTTCAAAGCAGAGTTTGTGGGATGTCCTTGCACGCAAAGAAACGGCCTGGCCCATCACGGAATCGCGGCTTCTCAGGTGGAGAGACCCTTGCCTCTGCCCGCCTTCCCCTTCCTCTGCCCAGCGCCTTACCCTTGATGCCTTCCCCGGATGCGGCTGTGATGCAGGATCTGCTGGTAAGGGGCCCGGGCAGCCCACGACATGGACAGCCACAGAGCCAAGGCCAGCCAGTACAGCAGGGAGCGCATCGCCGCCGCGGGAAAGCAGGCAGCCAAGGACCGGCGAACTTCAGAGGAAGAGCACCCTGCGGGACAGCACACGCGGGGATCGGAGGGAGAGAGCCGCTCTCCGCTGTGGGAGCTTGCCTTACATAGGGGAGGGGGCCGGGCCACAGGGAGGGGGCGGGGCCACGCTCCCTCCGCATTTGGGGGGGGGGGCTGGAGGTCGCGACTCCGAGAGATCCCCTCTGAGAGAGGAGGAACACCAGGCTGGGCTTGGGGTTGGAGCCTCAAACTGATTCGCTCATTTTGTGAGTTGGGAGGAAAAGAGAGTTGAAGATGTGAGCAAAAAGGTTTTTAAAAGTGCCCTTCCTTCTTTGCACGCTCTCCAAAGTGGAGGTCTTGTTATTTGTGTTGTCGAAGGCTTTCATGGCCGGAATCGCTGGGTTGCTGTGAGTTTTCCGGGCTGTATGGCCACGTTCCAGCAGCATTCCCTCCCGACGTTTTTCCGGCATCTGTGGCAGGCATCCTCAGAGGTTGAGGGGTCTGTTGGAAACTAAGTAAGTGAGAAGGTGTTGTCAAAGGTTTTCTGGAGCCACAAATATTTATTCTGAGATGAAAAAAGGAAGACAGTTGAGTGAAACATGCACACACTCCTTTGAATGACCAACAGTACTAAGATGCTGGAATTTCTGACTTACTTTCTCAAAGTTTTGTTGTTAAATGAACTAGCCAGAAAACTAGATCATGACTTTGCTTCTGGATCAAGAAGAAGAGCAAGATGGATAATGGCATAAGAAACCGATGCATCACCCTACTGGTGATGGAGAAGAGTAGTGGGATGAGCTTGGATCAGTGCCGGAGGATATGCTTTACTTTGTAGCACAAGCTCAGAACACGGACTCCAACTTACAATATCACTTAGACAACATCTTGCTTCAGAGTTATAGTTTTTAAAAAACACAAAATTCCAAGCTATGTCAGCTAGGAGCAGCTGAAGGCATTTTACTCCTAGAGGCTCTATCCCTTCCCTGTGTAGTAACTGACTGAACTGGCAGACCTTCCTCAATACAGACAATGGGGAAAAAAATAATTTTTGTTATTATAGGTAGCTTACAGTAAAATCAGTTTCAACCATTTCAATTGGAAAATAATAAAAATGTAATTAAAATACATCTTCAAAAACATAATAAACAATAGAATCATTTAAAAGGTTTAAACAATATTAAATCACATTTGTGTTTTTGATTTTTGTGCATTCATAGATTTGATTTAGAATGTTCTCTCTAGAATCTCTTGGTCCTCTAGTCCAACTTTACGGTCAACCTTGTCTAGGAAATTTCTAAAGCGATCACCCAGGCCTGTAGCCAGGATTTTGTTTTGGGGGGGGGGGGGGGGGGCTGAGTCTGAGTGAAAGAGGGTCTACCCTAGCAAACCTTTTGTATCGTTACCCCAATACCCCCATGCATATGGGATATATTGAGTATGGTGATCAGATCATGATATGAATAAACATAACAGTTTAAATAATACACCAGTAAGGCCTTTTCGCGAACCACCATGAGAATTGGGGGGGGGGGGCTGAAGCCCCCCAAGCCCCCCCCCCCCAGCTACATGCCTGCGATCACCTCTCTAGAGATCCTTCCACACAGCCATATAACCCAGAATATCAAGGAAGAATAACCCACTGGGTTATCTGAGTCTATACTACCATATATCCCATTTCAAAGCAGATAATGTGGGATTTTATTCAGCTGTGTGGAAGGGGTCTTAATCCTCCAATGTAATTCTATGGTCAGTTTCCAGCAGAAATTGACCATGGAGTCATGCTGGAAGACCTAGACTTTTCCTAAAGAGGTGTTCTCAAGATTACAAATAAAGAAACATTGCTTTATTTGCTGTGTTTCATTTTTTGGTGGGGGAGGGGGGTTTCCTGTGTTCCTATCCCCAGCAAATGTGCAGAGTTGTATGTAGATATAAAGCAGCAATGAGAGAGTCATGTCATGTGATAAGTACCTGCTGTATTGAGATTTTTCAGCCTCATGTGATAAAGTTCATGGTCAGTGGACACCAGAGACAGAAACACATGTAATATAACCAAGCTCAAAAAGTGTTTCAAATGTGTTTTAAAAGCCAAAGTGAGAAGTTTCACCTAGTGGTCTGAGAAAATAATGTTCACCTAAATCTATCCTAGTACCCAATGAAGCCTAATTTGCATATCTGCAGCCTTTCCCTATTTCTCTATTACTTCCTCTCCACAACCACACCTTAATTCTTTGTAAATCAGATTAATATTTTATTGGCAGGGAAAGTGCACAACTGGCACAATGAAAAGGGACGTGAATCTTGGCCTTTGTGATAAATTTCCACCCGTCTGATATTCTAGTGTAGAAATGATCTGAACATAGACTGTGATCTAGCAACAGGTCTTTGAGTGTTTGAAGTAGACTGGTGAGGATTTCTAAATCCAGATTACTTAAAAATAGCAATAACAATAATTCATTGCATGGCAGGTGGTTAGACTAGATAGTTCATGTGTTCTCTTCCAACTCTGTTATTCTATGATTCTAGGGAAGGGAGTGGGTATAAATAAAACCATTGATTGGTTGAATCCTTCACTCCACATATGCTGTAAAAAATGGGAGGGAGGGTAAGAGTGAGGGTGAAAGCCAGGAATATGTGAGAGATCCACATGCTCTCTTCCAGTCTCATACTCAAAACAAATTCCTGGGTTCAGAATTCTTGAATCTTAAGCACTTCCCACCCAATCTATTAGTCTGTTGCACTTCTCTTGCGCTCCTATAAAGTGTATTGCACTCACTGAATTGTACCTCACCTATGTTCTTTTTCTCAGCCATATTGCTCTTATGTGGTTTATAATTGTGTTGTATTGTTTTTATCTGATGTTTTAATTGTAATGTTTGATTTTTGTGTTCTAATTATAATGTTTGGGCTTGTCCCTTGTAAGCCACCCTGAGTCGCCTAGGAGAGATGGTTGGCAGGGTATAAAAATAAAGTTGTTGTTGTTGTTGTTATTATTAAGTGTAGCTCATTTGTCTCAGATGCAGAGTGGCAATTCCCAGGACCCCACCAAAGCCAAAGTAGGTCCCCGAAGTCAGGCCCGAAGCCAGGATTTCATTTCGGGGGGGGGGGGGGGGCTAAAATTTTCAGGGGTTGGGGGGGCTGAGTTGTCGGGGGGGCTGAGTCTGAGTGAAAGAGGGTCTAGCCTCGCAAACCTTTTGTATCATTACCCCAATACCCCCATGCATATGGGATATATTGAGTATGGTGATCAGATCATGATATGAATAAACATAACAGTTTAAATAATGCACCAGTAAGGCCTTTTCGCGAACCACCATGAGAATTTCGGGGGGGGGGGGGCTGAAGCCCCTCAAGCCCCCCCCCCCCCCCGGCTACATGCCTGCCCGAAGTCTACCCACCAGTGTTCTAGCTCACTTTGTATCTCTTTTGCAGATCCTTTTCCATCTCTGTGGCTTGTGGTAAAACATATGTTTTGCATGTGGAAATTGACAGATTCAGTCCCTGGCATCTCCAAGATGGGCCAGGAAAGAATCCTGTCTGAAATCCCCTAAACCACTGGTTCTCAACCTGTGAGTCCCCAGGTGTTTTGGGCTACAACTCCCAGAAATCCCAGCCACTTTACCAGCTGTTAGGATTTCTGGGAGTTGAAGGCCAAAACATCTGGGTACCCACAGGTTGAGAACCACTGCTATAAAACCATTAGCAGTCAACCTCTATATTACTGAATTTAAAGAGATCAGTAGTCTGATTTAGTTTAAACTGCTTATATATTCTCCCATGTTTCCATGATCAATTTAAATTGACTATAAGGCAAATAAAAGGAGAAGCAAGTTACTAAATTATGGAAAGATTATTTCACTTAAAGCTGTAAGGTCAACAATCGACGTGTCTTTATATACACCACAAAGAACAAACCAGTCATAGAATACTGGACTGTCGGATGACAAAGGAGCAAAGGGTGTACAAAGAAGAACAGAGAGACTGTGGAGAAGCTGAATGCAATTTTTGCAACTGTATTCACCAAAGAAGATGTAAAACAGAAACTCGTGCCTGAACTGACATTTTCAAGGAGAAAGGAGTAAAACAGATGTGATAAGAAAGGGCATCTAGAGTTAGCTTATCAACAAATTGTGGGGGGAGGAATAAGGAGAATAGGTCTGGAAGATGACCACTCAAAAGGTCTAAAAGAACTCAAGTGCAAAATTGATGGTTTCGTAACAATAAATATACAATTTGTAATGCTTACGTTTAAAGAGGGATATCATGGGGGAGGGGGGATTACAAGCACAATTCTTGGGAAATTAAGGCATAACATTATCAAATATGTAGGTGAACCAGTCTGATCACTACAACATAAAGGTGCTCTTATTCTGACATATGCCATGCATGATGATCTGTTTGTACTGCATTTCTTTGGGCTTGAATCCATGTTTTACAATGTCTCTTATCCTAGTTTTACAGCACATCCATACTTTTAGACATTGGGAGGAGGACTTAATGGTGCAAATGAAGCAAATAAATAAATAAATAAATGTTTAAATGTCATTGTGTTTTTATGATGTAATTGATAGCTTGTACATGAAACCATTGGGTGACCTTAGGCAAATCACACTCTCTAATCCTCAGGGGAAGGTAATGGCAAAGCTCTTCTGAGGAGATCTTGCCAAGAAAATCCTGGGATAGGTTTATCTTAGGTCCCTTCTACACTGCTATATAAAATCCAGATTACCTGATTTGAACGGGAGTATATGGCAGTGTGGCTTCAAATAAGTCCTTGAGAAGCCACTGCCATATCAGCTGACATTTCTGATGCATTTTCAGTCAGTCAAGACAATTCTGAGCTTTAGATCTAAAATACCATTGGACAAAAATAACAGTTTCTTTCACTCACAGAAGGAGGCTATTACAAGAGTAAGGAGGCAGTTCTCTTCACTTTAGGTATTCCCCCTTTCCCTTTGGCAGGCCTCAGCACCATCTACAAAACTATTTGGAAGGATTATCTAATCATTCAGAATTGTTTTTAGGAAGATGCAGCGGGCAGGTGAAAGTCAGCAAAAATCTTTCTTCCAGTGGGAATGTCTCATAGCAGGAGGTTAGCT